GCAGGACCACCTAAAGAAATACTTTCCAGGAATTGACATGAATATGTGTGTGTGTATGAAGATATATACATGTGTATGTATGTATACATACATATATTGTATTATGTATTATGTATTATATATACATACACACACAGATGTACATATGCATGCATGTATGTGTATATGTATGTCTAGAGAGACAAATGAATATATGTGTGGGTATACGTATATACATATGTAATCAAAAGTCATTCACCATTAGATCAGTGGTCAAAGGATATGAATAAATACTTTTCAAAAAAAAAATTACACACTATAAGGAACCGCATGAAAACATGCTCTAAATCACTAACAGTATGAGGAATTCAAATGAAGATAACTCTCATCATGTAAATTGGCAAAAACATCAAAGATAGGAACATTCATCATGAGAGGATTTTACAAAGATTTCCATTTGGAATTATGTGAAAAATGATGAAACTGTACACATTCTTCCAGAAATCCCACTACTGGACATATGTCCCATAGAAGCCAAAGACTAAAATAAACATTCGATATATGCCAAAATATTCATAATATGTTTTGGTCACAAAGAACTGTAAGCAAAGCAAGTGCCCATTGATTGGGGAATGGGAGAATATAAATCTGATGGCATATGGATATAATGGAATATTATTGTACAGGAAGAAATGATAAAGATTAGGAATTCTGAGAAACATGGGAAGATTTGTATGAACTGGTAACAGGGTGAAGTAAGCAGAACTAAGAAAACAATACACACAGTTACATAACAGTGTAAGTGAAGAGATCACTAACAGGGAACTGAACTCTGAGTAATAGAAATACTAATGAAGAGCCCAGAAGAAAGGGAGGGTGACAAGGCTCATACACAAATAGCATGTTAGAAAATAATTAAGTAGATAGGATCAGAGATTTAGCACTGAAAGGGAACTTAAATGTTATCAAGTGCGATCCCCTCATTTATAGATGAGGAAAATGAGGCCCAAAGAGATTAAATGATTTGCTGAAAGTCATAGAGAAGTAGTCAGATTATCCTGAGAGGTTCAAGGATCACTCCTAGCCAGAGTGATTTGGGAGGACATCATGGAGCATATCATGGAGGAATACCATCATGGTGGAACTCAGTCTGGGTCTTGCAGGAAGGGAAAGCTGTCAGTGAGTGGTGGGGAGGAGTGGCAACATGTACAATGGCAAGGCAGTAAGAGACAGAAAGATAAGATAATGAAATAGTTCATTTTGGTTAGAACATAGAGTATGTGAAAGAGAGTAAGTGCCATGGAGTAAGGCTGGAAAGCCAGGTTGGAACAAGTCTTGAATGTTAGATTAAGGAGCTTGCGTTTGTAAGCAATGAGGAGCCACACTGAAGAATTCTGAGCACGGAAGTGATGCAATCATATTCAATGGTTTAGGAAGAGTCCTTTGGTATACAGAAAGGATGGACTATTGAAAGAAAAGAGTGGTGATGGAGAGAACTATTAGGAGACAATTTTTAAAAATAATAACACAATTCATTTAGAGGACCAAAAGATCTAGATTTTGAAGATACATCATGAAAAAGGTAGTTATGAAGGGCCAATAGTGATAAAACTCCCAGGACTCAAATTATATATAAAGTAGCAATCATCAAAACGATTTGATGGTTTAAAAATAGAAAAGTAGATCAATGAAACAAATTACACAAGGGAGGATCAGAAAAAAATTGAACTCAATAACCCAGTGCTTGATAAACCCCAAAGCATAAGCTACTTTAAAAAGAGAATTGCCCATATGACAAGAATTTCTGGGAAAACTGAAGAGCAATTTGGCAGAAATTAGTCGTTTAGGGTTTTTGTTATTTAACAAAAAACAATTTTGTCTCCCTCCCACATCCACCATTCCCCTCCAACCCATATTATGAACATGTATAGTCAAACAAAACAAATTCCTACATTGGCCATGGTCAAAAAATACATGTCTCAGTGTGCACTGAATCCATCACCTATCCTGAAGTTAAGTGGAATGTCTCATCCATCATGGGTTGGATCCTTTAGCATCATGGCTGTTGATCAGAGTTCTTAAGTTTTCCAAAGCTATTTGTCTTTATTGTTGTAGTTATTGTATAAATTGTTCTCCTGGTTCTTCTCACTTCACACTGTATCAGTTCATACAAGTCTTCACAGGTTTCTCTGAAATCACCCCCTTCATCATTTCTTACAACAATGCTATTCCATATATCATAATTTGTTCAGCCATTCCCCAATTGATAGGCACCCCCCCAGTTTCCAATTCTTTGTCACCACAAAAAGAGCTGCCTTTAGTAGTATCACCGAGTTAAAGAGTGTGGATTTAAGTCACTTGGGCACTGCTCCAAACAGCCTTCCAGAACAGCTGTACCATGCAGCCTCGAGGCCTTATGGAGCCCTCTAGGTCCTTGGGTGCAGCCTTTTGACTGAGTCCGAGTTTTACAGAACAAATCCTTTTATGAAGGGGATTTGTTCTTCAAAACTTGGACTCTATCAAAGGGCCACACTTGAGGACCTAGAGGGCCACATGTGGCCTCGAGACCGCAGATTCCCCACCTATGCTGGACCAATGCACAGCTTCCCAACAGTGCACTAAAGTGCCTGTTTTCCC